TTCCGTTTTTGATTCCGAGTTTTGGGCGGTACCGGTCGTTGCAAGGTGGGTGCCCCTCCCGACGGGGCGCGTATACGGGAAGCGCCGCGTCCGATAGCTGGGCGAGGTACTGGTGGTTTCAATGCAGACCAAAGTTCGAATCCAGTGATATCTCATATCTCAAGGCTGTCGCCCTTTCGAAAAAATAAAACAGCCAATGCACCCCAACGACATAATTCAGCCTTTTTGTGTCACACCCTTGAACTRTTGAGATGCAGACCTGAGATTGAGCATTCCCCCCCACAGTTTTTTTTTTTTTTTTTTTCCTTTTCTTCCGGAAAATACAGGGGTTCTGGACAGAGATCCGGACGGGTTCCGGACCGGTCTGGATCTTCCGGAATATTCCGGTTTTCCGGAAGTCCAGATGGGGCCGAGAAGTCCGGAGTCCGGGGTCCGGATTCGGTCCGGTCCGGCGTAGCTATGGTAGAAACTGCAGCAGCGGAAACTGAAGCAGTGGAAACTGGAGCAATGGAGACTGCATCAGTGGACACTGCAGCGGTGGAAACCGCAACAGTGGACACTGCAGCAGTGGAAACTGGAGCAGTGGAAACTGCAGTGGTGGATACTGCAGCAGTGGAAACCGCAACAGTGGACACTGTAGCAGTGAAAACTGCAGGAGTGGAGACTCCAACAGTGGACACTGCAGGAGTGGAAACTGCGGTAGCAGCAGATGAGTAAGTAGGGGCAGGACGAGAGCATCATGGGGGCGAAGAAGAAATAGGATGATACAAGGACCATCGCAACATGCGTCGGAACCACTGAGAGAGACGCGTCAAATGTGTAGGATAGCGACGTTGGCGGGAGCGCATGTAGCAGGTCCACCCCTTAGCAAGGGTTGGTGGGGAATGCCCATGTAAAAGCATACGACGAGTAAGTGTTGTTGCCGCAGTTCGAAAGTCCTGCCAATTGTTACAGATTTGTTCATATATGTCTAAGGTTGCCAACGTTCGGGACGGGCCGAACCCCCGAATGTTCGGCACCCTCTCTCAATGCGTTCGGCCGTTCAGTCGAACGCGGATCCCCCCCGGGCCCCCCCCCCCCCCCAAAAAAAAAAAAAAAAAAAACGAATTCCAAAAAATATGAAAAACATATATGTTATGCATAAGAATAAACTAAACAACATTTTCCTCAATGTTACATGCAAATTCCTTACCAAATTTGAAATAAAAATCGAACACTAAAAATAAATAATAATAATGAAAATTAGAAAAAATCAAACGAGAATGAAATTATTGAGTGGGGGAGCACGTTTTTGACATCGCGATTTTTCTTTTTTTTTTGGCTGTGACAATGCTATGAAAATTTATATATGTGTATCTTACATAATAGAGAATCTACAAATAAAGTTTGAAAAATAATATTTTTTTTCATGCCCCGAAATAAAAGAAAAACAAAAAGTGAAAAGAGAAAAAGAACTTTTTATTATTATTATTATTTTTTTAATTTTAAACTTCGTATACAGGAAGCCTACTTAATGAGGTGGTAAAAGCATCCCCGCTAAGTAGGCCCCAACGTTGAAGACTCCATCTATTGGTGGGGAGCAACCCCTGCTGGAAATCGCATCCAGCGTCCCTGTACAATGATGTAAATGTATGAGTTGGAAATCGGGTCCAGCGTCCCTATACAAAGATGTTTTGATATCAGATACTACCTATGTATGCTCATCAACCAATATATGTCAGAAGATGGGAAAACCCTGTCCATTTGATCAACAATTTCTTATCCACAGACTAAGGCATCAAGCCTAATCCTACCTATCAGACGAGGAAACGAAACCCTGCTTTTGATATGATGTGTGCAAACTGGAGATCAGAGCAATCAAGTCCAGCGCCACTAAACAATGTGTTGTAGATCAACCGGAAATCGGGCCCAGCTCCCCTATGCAGTAGTATGTGTATATATTCATCAATATATGACCCATGAAGGAAGAGCCTCATCTACCCTATACTCCATTATCTACCATGAAATCACTATGAGACGCAAGAAGAGAGAACCCTATGTAACCAACCTCCTTCCATTATCTACTATAATCCCTAAACGGGTATGATGGGTGTGATCTGGAAGTCAGGCCCAGCGTCCCTATACACTGATGTGTGCAGACGTCTATATGTACATACAATCCAATCTGTATGTAATCGTTGGGTAGAGGCATTGATTACTTCCCTACACTAGGGAAGGATTGACCTCCTGCCCATGGAGTATGAACGCGGCAAAAAGGTAACAAGAAAAATCTTCGTCGATCTCCCCACCAAAGAACCAAATCAAAACGCATACCCTAAACCGCCGACGTCCTCGTAAGGGCCAATCAACACCCCTATGTTGAGGGCCGACCCACCCCAGTCAACGAGGGGGAGATCATTCATCCTATTATGTAGTATTTTCCTAACGAAAAGCATGGTAGCAGAGGCATTGATGACCTTCCCGCGATAGGGAAGGATTGGCCTCCTGCCTTATTATGAGAATCCTCCTCCCCAACCAGCACATTGAATCATCAAGCTCATCGCAATCAGGTCAGACAGACAAGGCCGCGACCTATCCACCCCCTCCTTGATTGAGGTTGATTGAGGTTGCGGACCGGGCAACCCCGATCAACCAAGGGGGCAGCGACTCTCAACTATCCGATCCCCACCCGATGCTAGCAAAGGAGGAACACTAGATCATACAGTTTGGGGGGGGAGAGAAGTAGCAAACCATTTCTTCCATTTCTGCCAACCCCAAACCCTTCCCTATCCATGTCAGCCGATCCCCGCCTCTGTCCCCCAGTACAAATGATGAAAGCGGATACACGAGCATTGCTGCTGGCGCGATCCCCGCTGTTGTTGATGAAACTGTCGTTGATGCGACCATCATTGATGAAAATGTCGTAATAGTTGTCATTGTTGTTGTTGTTATCGTCGTCATCGTCGTCATCGTCGTCGTCGTCGTCGTTGTTGTTGTTGTTGTTGTCGTTGTTGTTGTTGTTGTTGTTGTTGTTGTTGTTGTTGTTGTTGTTGTTGTTGTTGTTGCTGTTGTAATCGTTGTTGATCTTGTTTTTGTTGGAATAATCCCTGTCTGCGTCTGCCGATCCCCGCCCCTCTCCCCCCGTACAGGTGATAAAAGTTGATAGGCAAACCTTACTAGTACCGAGCTTGCCGCTGACGCAATCCCCGCTATCGTCGATGAAACTGTCGTTGATGCGACCATCTTTGATGAAGCTGTCGTTATAGATATCATTGTTGTTGTTGTTATTGTTATCGCAGTTACCTTTCTCGGCCTCGTCACCTCTTCCACTCCCTCCCCGTCCGCTGTCGTGCTTGTTGTCCAGTCTATCATCCCATCTGTCATCCTTCACACCCATCTCGCCCCTCTCCTGCCTTTGCTCCAACAGGTCGCATAGATCACACTTTCCCATCATGTCCGTCGCCCGCGTCCCGTAGATGTTAGCTTCGAGCTGAGGATCCGGCCCCTCCTCCAGCCCCCACCCGATATCCCACCCACGGCTCGTCTCACTTTCGGTTGTCACCGCGGCTGCCGCCGTTGCCATCAGCCCCAACTCCACCTCCCACTCGCCCGCATCATCACGGGCATATTCCCTGTCAGCATGATCTCCACTGCACTGATGAGGCTGGGTGATGTTGCTGTTGTTGTTGTTGTTGTTGTTGTTGTTGTTGTTGTTGTTGTTGTTGTTGTTGTTGTCGTCGTTGTTGTTGTTGTTGTCGTTGTTATTGCTGTTGTCCCTGACATCGTTCTTTCCCAGTTCCACCATTGGAGCCATCAGCCCTACCTCCTCCCCCCCACTCGCCAGCATCAGGAGATGTTGTTCTCGGTATCTTTGCTGCAATCACTTTTTGAACTGTTGACGTCACCGGTACTATCACCATTACCACCTGCCCTCACTCCACTTCCAACCCTCCTGCGTCACCAAGGCCATATTCCCACTCGCTACCCTGACAATCGCTTTCAAATTCGCACTCCTTACATACGGAATTGATGGTTGCAAAGTAGCCAACGGCATCTTCATCATCCTGCTCACCAGTTTCGCAGCCGACGACTTCTTCTCGATTCTGCTCATCATCACCGCTTACCCCATCCACGTAGACTGCGCAGAGATTTGCAAAGTAATTGAGCGCATCCACCTCGTCTCGCCCATCTTCCTCTCCATGCCAGACGTCATCATGAATGTCAAAGCCGATGGCGTCTTCTTCATCCTGCTCGTCATCACCACTCACCCCATCCACGTAGACTGCGGTAAGATTTGCAAAGTAATTGAGCGCATCCACCTCATCTCGCCCATCTTCCTCTCCATCCCAGACATCATCATGGCGTCTTAGTGAGTGGGCAAGCATGTTTTGACACCACCATCTTTGAGGATTTTTTTTTTTTTTTTTGGAAGGACAGAATGGGTTCAAAATTAAGTGGGAGATACCTTACATCACAAAGAACTCACAATTTTTTTTTCAGAAACAAATAATAATATTTAGGTGCCAAAATATTTTTTTGCGGGGTCCGAACCCCTTCAAGTTTGGGCTCCGTACGGGGACCCGAACGCCCGAACGTTCGGGGGTCAGCTTAGGGGCCTCCGTACGTTCGGCCTGGCAACCCTGAATATATATTTTTGTGTGATCTATTTTAAAGTGCATCTGTGCCTTGTGCTTGCCTGAGTACAAGTCTTGATCCGTGCGCTAACTCTGTTAGCCAGGTGTGTGTGGCTGTGCCTGTGACACGGATGAGGTAACGGTAGAGAGAGATGGCCAAGGGCAGGACTGAAATGAAGCGGTAGGACATTGGGGGTGGTTTAGCGCCCTGGGACATAAGTAGAATTTGATAGGGACCTGTTATGGATTTTCCAGCAGTTATTTGGGCCTGGAAAGGTCCGATAGCTTACTGGTAGGTCCAGGGCCTGACTTTAGGCGGGTAGTAATCTCGGTTCAGGGGGCCTATAGGGAGATTTCAATACGCAGTGATGTTCCAGCCAAAAGGAGGGAACATCCGGTAGGTGTAGTGCACCCAATCGAGGCACGTGCAGGCTGGATTGCCCGGCCAAGAGGTGTCGGAGGCCGAGCAAGCGAAGTATATCATTTAGTGCAATCATGAGCAGTGTGCTCATTCACCCGGCAGTCATGCTGCCGCCCTGCAAAAAGGGAGAAGTGGCGGAGCTCCTGGAGGAAGTACGTGGAGTTGGAGGGTGATGAAGAGGACCTCCGCGGCTATGGAAGTGTAGTAGGGAGAGATGTGGAGGTTGTCCTAGGCTATGGAGGTGAGGGAGAAGGACCTCCAGCTAGGCTATGGAGGATGGAGGAGCAGCAGAGGTTGACCTTTGGCTATGGTGGACTTGCGCATCTTCATGTCCAAGATTGGTGCTGCATCAGGAAGGCCTCTGAAGAGGCACCAGTGGGCTATGGACTTCATCCTGTAGTCAGATGCAAGCACCAACCTCTGACCTCCGACCTCCGTGGCGGAGGTCAATGGGGATGGCTCTGTGCAATGCTGGCTGGCAGTAATCTGAGAGGTTTAGGACGTCAAAGGGGATGGCTCTGTGCAATGCTGGCAGTAATCTGACATTGATTCTGGCTTTTTTTTTTCCCTTTTCTTTTTCTTTTTCTTTTTCTTCCCCCCCCCTCTCTAAATATAAAAGGTTAATTCACTTAAGCCAAACCAATTCAATTACCTGTCGAATGTGGACAGGAAGGCCTTTCAGCCCTTTTTTATTGTCATTATAGTAGTATTACGGGGAATACCCCGTAGTAGCCACACCGGTGCTCAAGCCTCCAACGAGGGAACATGCGGGAGCTGCACCCACCAGCAGGTGCGATACCTGCTACAGCAGGTGGCCGATACCGGCCAGGGGTCAGCCGGTAACATCAGGACGGAGCTTCTTCGATGGGCCAGTCACTGTGCCTCCCCTCCGGTCCCCTCCCCCTATGAACATCAGCATGTCAGCTCAATGCCACTCGGGGGCACCAACGGCATATCTCTAGGTGGCGGGCACCGAGCTTGCCCAGGGAGGTACATAAGGCCAATGGGGGGATTGAACCCAAGACCTCCTGAATGTCACATGCGTGCCTTACCAACTGAGCTAGGCCGCTGGCTTATTCTGGCTCTTCATTTTATTTTATTTTTCGTTAAACTTCGTTTGTTCCTTCTCAAAAAGTAAACCATCTTTGCGCCAAGCTGGAACAGTACTGTGTCCGATTTGTTGAAAGCATTCAGATTGTGTTTGTTGAAAGCATTCACACACTGCTGCAGAGATGAAGCTCGGTCCTGATGCTACCGGCTGACCCCTGGCCGGATGAGTTGATGTGGGGAAAGATGATGGAGACCAGTTGAGGCAGAGATGGCGTCGGTTCCGGCTTGTGTTTGTTGAAAGCATTCACACACTGCCGCAGTACATGCCCAGTACTGTGTCCGATCTTCTTCGTACCTTAGGGCCACAGGAGAGCTTTCCAGTATGAACAGTAGAGGCCAAAGTAGTGAACCGATAGGATAAGACCGGTAGGAACAGTGGAGGTCTCTAGTAGTCAGTGGGTAGGGAGCCGCCTCGCGTATCCACTCCTGGTCCAGTTGCAGCCCAGTCCCAGGAAAGGTCCACAACAGACTGTATCTCTGTGGGCCGCAGCACACCCTGGCAGGAGAGGGTAAGGACTCACATGGGAGGAGGCATGCAAATGCACAAAATGAAGTGCCAAAATCTGCCTTTCTTCGGTTCTGGCATATGCAGAAGCGGTGCTGCATTACTGGGGGCCAAGATCTTGAAGCATGAACACTACCTGGCTGGGTGCCATAGCTGTAGTAGAGCACCGCAGAGAGAGAGGGAGAGCAGTGACAACATTCAGAGAGTGATCGCAGGGACCTGTGTGCAGCTATAGGTAGGCGCGCGCGCGCGAGCGAGAGAGTTGTTGCAGGACCTGTGGCCGCTGCTGCAGCTGCTACTGCCGGTGTTTCTACTGCTCCTCCTGCTATGACCACCACTGCCGCTGCGTCTGATAGGACCACTGCCACTTTAGCTGTTATAAAAATGCCCAGTCATTATCGCTGTATCTGGAATGAAAGTTGCCCCAAATACAGGGATAATGACCGGGCGTTCTACTCTAGTGAAGACGGTAGTCATGTCTCCTGCTTGTGCTGCATCTGCTACGATTGGCTGCTGTTGCTATTAGCCTATTGCGTCTGCAGGTGCCTACTATTTCCCGCTGCTGCGGCAACTGCTAGCCTTCTGTTGCTGGTCCTACCCCAATGGCTCGCAGCCTTCTGTTGCTGGTCCTACCCCAATGGCTCTTGCTACATCTGCTGCCATTGATGTTGTCGTCTGCTTTTATTGCTGCTAGTTGAACTGCTGTTCCTTTTGCAAGGAAAATGAGTGAAAGCGATAGACAGAAAACCAAAGGATGACACGCATAAATCGAGAAATGGTCCAAATTTAAAAAAAGAAAAAGAAAAAGAAAACCAAATTGCAATATCACGTTGAAGACCAGGTAGTCGTGTACCAAGCAGAAAGCACAGTACACGGAGATACAAGCCAAATAAGAGCAATACAATGAACTCAAATGTCAATGAGAGCATACTCTCGCCACCACCAACGATGTATCCAACGCCGCCCTTCTTGATTGACGCTCAGCGCCCAGCCTATCCTACTCAGCACCTACTCTAGCCTACACTACAATATGAAACAGTGGTCGCTTCAAGCTGAAGACCAATATACGTGACAGAGTTGCCAATGCAGTCTGCCACATACACCAGGTACTTGCCTCAACCTCACCCCTTCCTCTCCCAGTGTGCGCCCTTACACCGGAAGACCATCATCGCCCACACCAGCCTGCGCCCATGCAGCCCGGCTATGGCTGCCGTGTGCCCGCTGCCTCTGCAGCACCCTACACCACCATGCACTAGCGAAGTCTCGCATGTGCCCTCCAGCCTGACTTCCTAGCGGCCTCCCAGCGCTATGATCCAGCAGCGCTACAGCGTAGATCTCACAGGCCAGGATGTGCTCTCTGGCACAGGGCGCTTTCCTATATGGAAAGTGCTGCGCCCTGGGGGCTAAGTGACCTCTAGCCTGGCATTGGGCCCCAGTATCTGCGCCCAGGCCCATTCAGATAGCGGCCTGGGACTGGAGCAGTTAGGCTGCGCCCTGCTGAGCAATGTGGCTGCTGTCACTCACTGCCTTCTCGTTGGCCGATAGGTCACTTGCCACGTCGCTGCCTGGACTCTCATGGGTTGAGAAGACTCTGGCCTCGTCGCAAGCTGGGTGAGCCCAGAGGCTCAGCATGTCGTGCACCCACTGGGTGTGGCCATTGTAACCAACTGGCTCGTGGAAACTGTCTGGCGCCCCCCACATGCAGAAATGACAAAAATGAGGCCTCATGTCGGAATGCAGGCCTGCCTTCACTTAGGACGGGCACGGAGCTTGCTGGGGGCCCCTTGTCCGTCGGGTGACGCGGCCAGGAAGGCCACTGCGAGGGCTCATTCCTCACACTTTTTTTTTTGTTTTGTTTTGTTTTTTTCTGTAAAAAATAAAATAAAAATAATTTGGATCATTTCTCGATTTATGCATGTCATCCTTGCGCAGGGGCCATGGCGCTAATCTGCTCTCTCTGTATCTTTCCAATTTTAACAGATGTCCTGGAAGGACACAAACTGCTGCTCCCTTTCTCATGATGATGATGATTTCTCTTTTTATTTTTTTTTCAAACGAAAAAAAGGTCTCCGTTCTATCATCAGTGGCGAGCTGTACCTGCTGGAAACCGGGCCCAGCATCCCAAGCACCACTGATTGATACTCACTCTGAAGAGTCTGAGACTCTGAACGCTTCCCCTCGTCACGACCCTGGGGATCCTGACAGCATTGATACTTACTTCCACAGGGAGGATTAACTGTCAGACAAGCCCATAGTTTTAACTTTTAACTTAGACAATGCCCTTCTCATTCCTTTTCTTTCTTTCCTTTTTTTTTGTTTCTTTTTTTTTCACAAAACACTCCCACCAGTGCTAGTGGTGCTGGTTAAGGCAGACACCGCTAGCACCTGGGGCCTCGACCCACTAGCATCGCGTAAAACGGTGTGTGGCGGCCGTTTCTTTAAAAAAAAACATATAAAGAATCCTTTTTTTTTTTTTCAGAAATGCAAAGAAAACAAGGCCAACGCTATGCATCCACACTTCCACCAACCCGGTACATCTGCATGCAACCTTCCCGCCGGCCTGTTCACAGTCTTCCACGGAAATCTCAATATTCTCAATTTCTGCCTAAAAAAATAGCAAGGCGCGAAGCTTCAAAAACACCCCCCCCCCAAAAAAACCATAGTATTGAAGCTTCGCGCCAACGCAAAGTGGCCAACTAAATGGCCAACAAATGATTAAGAAAAAAATTCTACTGGCCGACAGGAAGCTGCATCCACAAAAACAGAGACAATCCACACTAGCAGTGGATACACGAAATCATCAACGACTCACACATGTCACAGAAGGCCACACGTGGTCGAAAACGGCGGAGCACAAGCGTAAATCGGACGTAGTGGGA